CACCCTTTTAAGAGGTTGGGAAAACTTTAAATCTCATACATTCCCCTCTTTGCCTCCAAGGGCCAAAATTTTTTTTGTCTCCACAGACTCCTAAGTGGGAACCACTCACTCTTTTTTCCCCCATACAATTTTATGGGTTCCCTCATCTTTAAAAGACCCCAAACCGCTGACACGTCCACCCAAACCCCAAAAAAACTGAATAGTTTACCTCCTCCATACTCTTTCCCCCCAATTAAAATCCCAAACTTTCATCACCCAATCTTTTTGTTATCCTCATAACCTTACTCTTTCCTGGTTTTTTCACCCTTTTTTTTTTCTTCTTTTGCACACCCCCCAAATTCCAAAAATTTCCCCCAACCTGCAACTTCTCTTCGAATTTTCCCAAGAGCCCCAGTGTCTCCAAAAAAGGGAGCTGTGGGCCCAAATCCCCCTTTGTGTGGTTTTTTTATCTTTTAACTCCCCGCCCCTTTCCAAGACCCCCGCATTTTCTTTTCTTACAAACCCCCCCTCTTTAAATATATTAAAAAACCCCGGTGACACACACAAACCTTGTTAAGGCCCCACTTTTAAATGGGAAAAAATTTTTCCCTCTTTCCTACAAATCAAAATTTTACCTCACTATTCCCCTTTTTTAAAAACTCTTACTGCTTTCAGTAACCTTCCTTACACCCCTACACTTTCAACATCTCCCCCTTTCCCCCCTACCACCCTGTTTATTGCCTTTTTCCTTTTTAAAAAGCCAAAAAAACCCCTTTAGCCTTACTAAATAATGTTTTACTTATGTTTCCTGTAAACACCTGGTCCACAAACCCCCCCCCTTTCCTAAAACCCCCTTGTTATCTGCTATCCCAAATTTTTTCTTTTCTTTTAATTCTTTTTAATTATAAAAACCCACTATACACTTTACCAGGTTTTTCTTTTAAAAGACTTATCCCTCTAAAAATTTTTTCAAATCTTTTATCCCTTTTTTTCCTTTATACAAAAAAGGGAAATATTTCATGCTCTCTGCCCCAAACCCTAGGGACCCACCCTCTTCCCTACAATTTTTTAAATAATTGCACCAAACCCCTCCAAAAAATAATCCCCCCCTGTTTAACCCCTTTTATTTTTTTTCCCATCAATCCCCCCTGGGTTACCCCCCTTTTTTTTTACCTACCGGGCCCCACGAACTTCCCCCACACTCACAACTGGCTCTTCCCCACTCCTACAAGATGTTTTTTTCCTCCTTGCCCCCTACCTTTAAACACAGCTTCCCTATCTTCATCAACATTTTAAAAATTCCTCAAAATTTTTCCCTCCTCTTCCCCAAAACCTCTAACTCTCCATTTAATTTAAATCTCCTCCCCCTATTTTTAAAAATGACAAATCCATTTGTTCCCCTAGGCTTTCTTAACTTGTTAATCCCCACTCCCAAAAATTTTTTTTTTTCAACAAAATTTGTTGATAAAAAAATCTCACCCCCTCTCTCATTTTGCTCTTTTTTACATTGCTTTCCCCCACTCTCTTAAAACCCCCTCTTTTTTTCCCCTAAACTTTTTCCCTCCTTGCATCACTTCTACTTTGTAAAAAACTTTCATATGCTAACTTTTTCTCCCTTTCTACTCTCTTTAATCATCATTTCCACAATCCTCCTCTTCCTCCGGGACCCACTTTCCTGTAAAAAACAAACTTTGCTGAAAACTCTTTTCACAAAATTTTTTTTCCCACCCCTTTCCCTTTGAAACCCCCTTGCCCATGCTCTCATTAGTCTTTTATCCTCCAAAGTGTTTTTATCTTACCCCTAAATGCCTCCCCTTTTTTTTTATAAACCTTTCCCCCCCTCTTTCCCCGATTTTTCTATTCTCCTTGTTTCCCCTCTACCTTTTACTCTCATTTTAGTACAACTAGGAAAAGATTGATATAAAGTGGGCCCCTTTTAAACATGTACATCCTGAAGGGCTACTCAAAAAGTCTTTTATCTACCAATACATAATCCAACAAACTACTGTCATTTGCCCTACAACATATTTTAAAACTTATTTATCCCCCTTTTTTTTTTTTAAAATGTATTACCTATAACTAAACCCCTTTCTTACAAAGTTCAATCAAGGGGTCCCCTTATCATTTAAAAACCTGGGCACCCCCCCAAAAATTTCCTACCACAAACCCTTTCTAAAAAAATTCTCCTACTTTAGCATTCAGGTCCCCTACCACAAATTTCTCTCTCCTTGGTTCAAAGGGTCCTATACAAACACTTAAATTTCCCCAAAAACTCTCTCCTCCTCTGCATTTCCCCTCTTTTCCAGGGGCATACATCTTATTATGCCCCCTTCCTTTCCCTTTCCCAAAATTTTTTCTTTAAATCCACATTTAAATTTTTGAATTTACACATTTATTTTTTTCTTTTTTTCCTTCCATAATGATAAATTTTAAAATTTCGCAAACCCCTTCCCTTTGGGGCCCAACCTTTTCAATACTCCAGATTTAATCCCATTTATTTCCCCCCCCCTAAACTCTCCCACCCCCTTTAGCTTTGTTTTCCCCTTAGGGGGCCCGGACATCCCAAATTCTTTTTATTCATAACAACAGCATATCAAGTTTCTTGTCATTTCCCCATCTCCCCACATTTTTAAACATCCCCCCGTTTTATAAAGTTTTTCTTCTTCTCTTTTTTAGTAAAAGTCTACAGGAAAGGGGTTTAAATAGGCCCCTTTTCTTCCCCATTTTAGGGCCTCATACGAAAACGGGGGGCCCTTTCGGAGGAAAGATTTTTTTCCCCTTCCCCCTGGACCCAAAAGAGAAAAGGAGGGGCAAGGCTATTTTTAAAAAAAGGAAAAAACCGGGTGAGTATATTTATGTGTACATTCCCGTGAAGTGGGGACCCAAAGGGAAGTAAAGGGGTACAAATAACCCCCGTTACTAGAGTTTTTGAGACAGAAAAAAAAACCACAATCCTAAACCCTCAGGCCCAAAAAAAATTTCAGGTTTCTGGGTTTTATCATCTGGGAGGACGGTTGTACCCTTCCCCGGGGGGTTTCTGTCTACCATCCTACATTCACAAATAGGGGGATATTCAAAAGTTTCGGATTTAAATTTTGAAATAAATTTTAAAATTTTTTCTTTTATTTTTTTTTGTGAATAAAAATTGAAAATGAAAAGAAAGCAAAAATTTAAAAGGGGGGCCCAGAGACCTGACTAATTAACAATAAAATGTTATTTTAGTGCCAAAAAATGTCTGCCTTTTTTATGCGGGAACCCATTTTGAAAATTTGGGCCCTTTTTTTGAAAAAATTTGTGTGAAATTGGCCAAATTAGTAATTGCCCGACTCATTAGGTTTTAAATTTAAAAAGGGTTAAAAGGGGGATTTTTTGTATCGGTTAAAAAAAAAAAAAAAAAAGGATTTCTAGTGAAAAAAAACAGTGGTTTTTTCGACTGGGGAACCCAAAGAAAATTGGGCCCCAAAAAAGGGCTCAAGTGGGTGAAACGCCCGGGGGGTAAATGTCTCGAGACCGCTAAGTTTTCAAGTAGTATAATTTTTCCCTTAAAAATTTGTACTTTTGGTTTCATTACCTTTACAAGATGAACCCGAAAAAGCTCAAAAGGGTGTTTCCCGGGAACGCATTTGTCACTATTTTGACCGAGGGCCCCCTTTTGGGGGACTCTGGGGGATAACCCTGTTCCGGGGGCGTTGGCCGGGGGGCAACAAAAAATGTATGGGAAAAAACCGATCCCAACGAATGGTTTTGCGAAAACCCATTTGCTCAAAAACTATCCGTTTCCCCAACCGAGGTTTACTGGACAGGGTTTCCCTTTTAAAATCAACTGGTTTGGAGGTAGTACTTCAAAAAAAAACAAACAACAAACAAATTTTATTTTTTTTGCAAAATTAATTAAAGGGTTTTTGAATTACAATTTTTGAGTTGCATTTCAAAAAGAGCCACTTTTCAAGCCTAGGCATTATGGGCGAAATTAATTTTAAAGGGTTACAGACCTTAATACTAAAGAAATTGATATAGGGTTTTTTGAAGTTGGGGGGTTTTTCCCGTTTCCAAACCCCCAAGGGTTTAATAAAAAGTATATTCTTTTTTTTTCAAAAACACTGGGCCCAATCCTACTGGGCGGGGGGGCCCAAAAAGGGGGGAAAAAAGAAATTTTTTCAATAAATTTTGTAATTACAGTATATAAAGGGGAAGGGGTTACTAGCTCCTTGTCTTGGGATTTTAATCGCCTCTTATGACACAAATGGCTTATGGAGGAAGAATTCTGTTCCACTTCCCCATGGAGGGGATAATCTGATATTCATTTCTCTTGTATTCATTGTAAATCGTAAATTTATATTTATAATCACCTAAGAGACTGTATATATACAACCACTAAATTTATCATTGCCTTATTACAGCCTCTCCTCTCTTAACGACGGAGTTCTGTTCCTAATACCATGTCGGTAAACAAATAAGTCACTAAGTGAGGAGCATACTATAATGGTAGTGGGTTTGTGTCAAACATCTTTGATATTGCACCATTGATAACATATTTTTAAATGTTTGTTTAGTAGTGTACTCTGTATTGTAATAAACAGAATAGAGAAAATCAGCTCTCATATACTTTATTTAGGTATGCATGCATGTCAGAGAGCCCGTCGTAAATCTGAGTTGTCGGTAAACAAGTACGTCGCTAAGTGAGGAGAAGTTGTAATCTTAAGCTAATCTTAAGTTTGCCTAAAATGCTCTGCATATTAAGGGGCTTCTACATGCACACATAAATGTCATTCACCTTTGTACAAACATTGTATCATGGCCTTATCTTATCTAAGGTCAGGGTCAAGGATAGGCTTTGGGTTATGCTTTAGCAGTTGACTAATGTTACGTTACAACTGCTTGGAAACATTGTCTTGTATGTCTTATATACTTGTGCACCTATATGCTGGAAAATACAGTAATATACAGTAACCCCTGTTAAATATTATTCTGTAAAATAATTATTTGTTTGGAGATTTTAATTTCAATACTTTTGCTACCAGGAAGCTGAATCGTTTGCATCTTCGGGCAAGCAATTCTGAGTCGAGATTCTTATCTGTATGTGAGCGCTTGTTGCGCCACAATCAACTGACTGACTGTACTCTTGTAGCTGATGGTCAATTTGTCCAAGCTCATAGACTCATCCTGGCTACATGCAGGTACGCTTTTGAAATTTACTCCGTAGTTTTTAAGGTTTTAGTTACAAATAATTTATTTCAGGTTACTATCAAAGATTTTTCATCAGTTCCTGTAAATTGAGCATTAGCTCTTATACAAATAAGAGGTTGGCAATAGAGATATCCAAGTGTGCGTGTGTCTTAGTCATCAGTTTGTGCCTTTAATAATACATTCAACATTTACCATATTTCATGGCTTATTAGACACGTTTTTTCCATAAAATGTCTCCAAAAACCAGCCTGCATCCTATACACTAAAGGTGATGGGGGCTATAAGTTTGGGGTGTGGGGGTGGGCTGTAGCTCTCCCAGTTAAGTCTATTGCCGAGCCATGGAAACTAAAAAAAGTCTTATAACCCACATCTTATAAGCCGCGAAATACGGTATATCATTCTGCAACAAGGTACAGGAGGGCCCTGTTTGTATGGCTCTTATGTTTCCAAAACTGTGATTAGCAGAAATCACCAGCTGGTGGAAAAATGTTTTTTTTCCCATTATCGAATGCATATAAAATGCCTGAAGTGTGTATGCTATCATATATTAACCCTTTGACTGTCGCGGCCGTATATATACGTCTTACGAGGTACCGTGTTTGACGTATATATACTCAAATTCTGGCGGCTTCAAATCAAGCAGGAGAAAGCTGGTAGGCCCACATGTGAGAGAATGGGTCTGTGTGGTCAGTGTGCACCATGTAAAAAAAATCCTGGAGCACGCAGTGCATAATGAGAATGTGAAGGCTTACACAGCCCTGTAACAACTTCAGACAGTATTACCCAGGCTGGCTCCTCAGGAAAATTAGTGAATAGAAAAAGAAATAATAACAGACAAACATAAACACTTTATTATATAGAAAATATAAAATATAAAACACTTAAATATGAAATATTAATCCTACATTAAAGAAAATGAAAAATGAAAAATAATAAATGATAACCCATTCAAACGCTAATTCGGGTTGTCCTGGTGTTGGTGACACGTGTGTTGTTTAAAGTCAGTGAAGACCGCTTGCTGATGATGGGGTGGGGGGGGGTGGTCGCAAAGTGGTATGGTGACGCACCACTGCTAGTTCTCTCACAGAGAATCGCCGTGAATTATTATCCGATGACAGTGAAAGCAGGTTTCTTTACCGCTGGCAATATGTGGGTTACTCCTTGCAATTTCATAACAGTGCACAGGTAGTAATCAATACCAGGAAATGGGAGACTCCGAGGACGTTTAAGTCCTTCTTCCCTGATTCTGCTCGGTGATTGACATGTGACGCTTCCACCCTCACTGTCATCCAAGCTAAAAGATAATGTTTACCCACTACTTAAATAAATCACTCTCCATTGCAGTGTACATTACTCAAAAGACTGGCGTGATTATTACAACAGTCAACCTAGATCAAGACTGAAAGGACTAAGTTTTATTTATTGGTCAAAAGTGTAAGCTTTTAACCAATAATCCAACGTAATACAAGGCAGGCATGTACTTACAGTAGTGTTGGGAGTCTGCGAGTCGAGTGACTTTTACTAGTATGAACCAGAGCCCCACAGTCACCTTTTGGGGGGGGGAAGAGGGAGGGGGAAGGCGGATAGCTGTACAGCTCGACTGACCCACGTTAACTAAGCAGGGGCCGGCAATCAAACATCACTTTAGGTGGGGGGGGGAGAAAAGGCGGGAAAAACGGGAGCTGAACTTGCCCTACCTTAACTAGGTAGTCCAGCAATGAAACTATTGTAACTATAATTGCTACCCTATCTATTGAACTTTTCCTCGCACGTCCCCCATACCAAGAGCTTATAGTCCAAGGAGTAATAAGAAAGAATAGGCGATGAAAAAGTTCTAACAATTGGAAGTTCGCTTAAGGAAGCAAGACATCTTTCTACTGATGTCACGACTTAACCAGATCCAGGAGAAATAATTGGATGCAACCATTGATTATACACATATGGAACTTAAAAGCCGGAGTGCCAATGTCCACCTCAAGAGGCGACTGTTGGTTCCCTAAAAGATTCTTCTGTCTAGGTATATCATAGGTTTGTGGTCCGTTCTAAAATGAAATTCTTTCCCAGCAAATAAATTTAAGATTTGGAGATACCCCACACAAGGCTAAACATTCCCTTTTTGATAAGATGCATGTAAGATCAGTAAGGTTTCGGGATAAACCGTGCAAAAAATTTACAGAACCAAGAAAGCTTCAGCATGAGCTCTTGGTTTTGGGGAATTTAAAACACTCTAATAAGCTTTGATCTTACTGGGGAGAGGCTGCATTAGATTTTAATTAGAAAGTATGCTAGTCCCAAGAGACTAATATGCTTGTTATACCGCCAAGGAAGCATTTCTTCGGCTGTGGCAGTGAGGACCAAGGGGGTGAGGCGTAACCCACGCAAACAGATGTTAATGTTTGGATAATGCTTCCGCCCCAACGTAGATTCATTACGTCAAATGCTATTCTAAATAAACTGAAACATTTGGCATCTTACCACAACGCTGCTTTCCTCATCAGGTCTCACGTAGGTACACAGGCAGTACCAAACCGAAGGCAAGTTCTAATATTGCATCAGTCCTTGGTGTGTCGGAAAAAGCGGTGTGACTGCTAGGAAAGAAGGATCTTAACATTACTTGAATGATATTGCCTTGCAATATCTATCTCTAAAAAATGTAAGAGTACATACAAATTTTGTGTAGATCGCTATCTATTAAAGGGCATAAGGCTCAGCAATGTCCTCCCACCGAGCTTATAGCCATTAAGGCCTCTTGAAGTCAATAGCAAGTCTATATGAATAATTAACCACCTTCTTAACCATGACTACTGTGAAACAATATGAAGATACTGAAGGTTCAATGAACTTTAGTTTTATAATAATTTGTCTACCTCTCGTCAAAATGCATCCCTAAAGGGAACTGGAACTGGTATAATTTTCTGCTTTGATAGGATAGTCCTTCACTAAGTCAATCTTATGACTACCTGTGGAGGTAACACCTGGAATATCAGTAAAGACGTCTGAAAAGTTACTCCAGCACTACATTGAAAGTAGTTCAATGTCTCTGGTATTGTCATGCCAACGATTCATTAATATAATTTGGTTGCATCCGAGTGGTCAAGGAATCACCAAGTCATGTAGTTCTTCATCATAGTCCAAGTTAGACAGGTATCATTACGCACAACTTTACATTCTTCAGTTGTCTATCAATGTTTTGTGTGAGGGAAAAACTAAGTCAAAGTTGTTAAGGCAGTTAACCAGCGATTTCTCCGGATAATATTTCCTTAAGGGATGTTGATATGTATAAAGCTTAGTTTCCGCCATGACTTCGTATGAGGTAGTCAACTTTCCCACAAATTTTTAATACTTTTAGTAATGAACCTTTCCATGCTAACAATAATTTTATTTGACTGATAGGCAAAAGTACAAGAACTTCATCCCCTACATTAAAAACTTACCCTACTGACTTTTGGAATAAACAAAATACATCTTTTGTACTGGTCCGACTGACAGAAGCTTAGGTTTTTCAGAAACTAAGTCAGAGGTCCTCCTCAAGTTTGGATCAACAGGTCAAGGAAGAAACAGTAAGGGAAGACTGAAACTCAGAATTTACCATCCTCATTATCCATAATCATGAAGGATGGACCAAATGGGCCTCGGTGGCCTGTCTAGTCATAGAGTAAGTTTTCAAAAGGGAGAAAAAACCCCAAAGAGTCACGGGAACTCCCTCATAGGCAAACAGGAAGTGCGTACAGTAGGTCACGATGCCACTCCTTAAGGTTTAAGGACAAAGGTTTTCCTTAACATCGATGGGACTATGAGAAATCGAATGCGGCGCTCATATCCTCCCATATACAGCTTGGATATAGGGTGTTGATGAAAGAGAAGGCTATCACGCCCAGAAGGCTTGGTATAGGATGTTGCATTAAGTCAGATGTGAATTGTGTCCCCACAGATCAGACCAAAATTTCTCTAGGGATGCCACTCTGGAAGAAGAGGGACCAAAAGGCTTCAGCCACCTCTGAGTAGATATGGTATTTAAGGGTAGGCTTCAGGAAAGCTTCGAAGCATAATCAGACAATGTTAATATATATCTATGTCCCCCCAGAAGAAAAGTGGAGATAAAGGACCAACGATGTCAATAAGCTCCTCTTTCAAACGGTACCGTAAAGATAAGGCAATTTTGACCATAGGTACTAGCTCGCCTGGTACCTCGGTAGGAATGACAGTTTGGCTACTTTATCATGATCTACAATAAGGTAGTCATCTAGAGGAGGACATTTTTGGCCAAAAATAGGTTTCCCAATTTTATTTAAGGTTTACGATGCGAGAAATTCCAAGTCCACTGTCAGTCATGAGCCATTTTAAAAGAACAGTCTCTCTGCATTGACTTGGAACAACTAGACTGAAATAGTCCTATCTCATCTGAATTTAATTTGAATACTGACTTGTAACTAAGATACGTCTTATATATTCAGATTTTATATTGAAAAGTTTTTCCTTTGGATACCTTGATTTTGTTTAGTTGGGCATTCAGTTCATTCATCATTCATTAGATGTTTGCCCGGTACTGTTCTCCGGCCCGGGTCTTCTCCAGCTGGTGACCCGCGGTGGGCAGCGACCCGAGCGGGGGGTGTCCCGTTCGACTTCTTCATTCTTCTATCTTCTCTCTTGGGGCCCTCGCGTTGGAGGGTAACTCTCTTCTTTCTATCGTGCATGGACTCCCCAAGTGGGGAAGATGTCTATCTTGCTTGGGGATTCTTCGGATGTCAACAGTTGGGACAGAGGCAGAAAACAGGGTCGATTGGAGCCCACAACACTCGCCAGCTTTTATAGCAGGCAGCAAACAGTGCCTGGGGAGACTGGTCTAGCGGTTGGTGCTAGAAGAGGAATCCTTCTTCAGCAAGCTGACTAATTCCTTTAACCTACAGTGCTACGTGGTCGATTCCAGCATTGTTGAGTGGCAGAAGTGATTTTTGTTGGCAAAGTCCTTGTAAGTGATAGGATTCACAGT